CTTTCTCACCTCCATAGACCTCACAGAGGCCTACCTGCACATTCCCATTGCCCAGGAACACCGCAGGTATCTCAGGTTTTGTTACAGAGGACACCACTATCAATACCGGGCCCTCCCTTTTCGCCTGTCTTCAGCCCCTAGGGTATTCGCTAAGGTAATGGCAGCGCTGGCAGCGCACCTGAGGCAGGGCCCGGGATATATCCAATGTTACCTAGATGGCCTGTTATTGCAGTCATTTTCCTTTAGGGGTGCCCTGCGGGATCTAGACATCACCATGACATTCGTGATGGATCACAGGTTTACGGTAAATCTAACCAAGAGTCACCTCCACCCCTCTACTAGTCTGATACACCTAGGAGCCAGAATAGATACCCAGATGGGCATGGTCTTTCTGTCGCCTGACAGGCAGATAACGTTTAGGCAGCTAGCCTCCTCGGTAGCCAGGAAGCGTAAGGTGTCCTTAGCCACTCTGTCTAAACTGCTGGGCACCATGGTCTCCGCCATTGGCATCGTCCCGTGGGCTCGCCTCCACACCAGAGACCTCCAATGGTTCCTCTTGCCTTTCCAGCGAAGGCGCACGAGCTGCTCACAGGCCAAGGTACCTCTTCCTGCAGAGGTTTCCCGCTCCCTGACTTGGTGGATGTCCCCAGCGATCATGAAGGACGAAGCTTTCTGGACACCAGACTGCATGACGGTAACAACGGACACCAGTCTGAGCGGGTGGGGTGCCCATCTGCTGGATCAGATGGCGCAAAGACAAGGGACTCACAACATAAACTGGTTGGAACTCAATGGTGGGCTGCCTGGCCCTGTTACATTTCCAGCGCTCGGTCAGGGACCATCACATATTAGTCCTCACAGACAATATCACCACCAAGGCCCACATAAACAGGCAGGGGAGGACCAGATCGAGGGCCCTCATGAAGGAGGCCAAACGTCTGTGGCAGTGGGCCAAAAGGAACCTCCGGTCTTTGAGGGCAGAGCACATAGCGGGGGTGGACAACACCAAAGTCGACTGGCTCAGCTGGGCCAAGGTGGACAACTCAGAATGGAGGCAGCAGCCGGCGATCTTCGAGGAGGTGGCCAAGCGCTTTCAGCATCCGGAGGTCGACGTGTTCTCCACTCCCCTCAATACCTAGCTCCCGAGGTTCTTCTCCAGGTACCAGACACAGGGGGCGGAAGGGATGGACGCTCTGCGGAGCCCCTTCTGTATGCCTTTCCTCCCTTACCCTTGATCCCCAAGGTCATACGGAAGGTTCTTCAGGAGGGGGCAGAAGTGGTTCTGTTGGCCCCTCACTGGCCCCGGAGACCATGGTTTGCAGATCTCCAGTCTCTGTCTGTGGAGAGGCCCTGGAGAATCCCCCAGGAGAGGATATCCCTCAGCCAGGGGTTGCTGGAACACCCATATCCTCAATGGCTCCAGTTGACCGCTTGGCGATTGAGCGGAGCATCCTGAAGAAAGACTTCTTCTCCCCCAAGGTGATACGGACTATCCAGGCCGCCCGCAGACCGTCCACG